CCATGACCTGGGCTCAGAGGAAGTGGGTTGATTGATGCTGGCCATCAGATTGAAGACATCTAGTGGCAGAACAGAAGTAGTGCAGGGGAAATCTCCAGATTGAAGGTGAATAATGCAGAAGCTTTGTTATTTAATTTTTTTATGGACTGTTCATTTTAATATCTGTCTGCTTTATGTACATAATCCACCAAAATCTGACTCATCCGAGACCTTCTTTTCTTTTCTCCAGCAAGAGAAACAAATCTCTTGCTGGAGGAGCGAGCTAAAAAAAAATCTTCCACGTGCAGCGTCAGAACACACTTATGAAGGAAATAAGAGACGATGCTCATTTTAGGTCAGGAGGCGCAGGGGCAGCTATGAGGATCCATATGATTCACACTTCTGAATTATTAAAAACTAATAAAATGTCTCCAACTTCTAATAAGAGATGAATTCATTTCCTGAGCCTCTGGGGACTTGACTGTTTGAGGAATACCCCCGGTCATAGCAGGCCATTAATCATTGGCGTTTATAAACCGTGTTAGGACGTAAAATATTGAACATTTTTTGCAATACAGGAAGTGCCGGGTTCTGCAGTCTCCTAAAAGTGTTTTTTTTTTAAATGAAAAAATACTTATAAAAAGTAGGGATGCACCGATACCGGTGATTCCGCTGGCATGGAGCCTGCTTCCCGGCAATCTGGAAGCCGGGCGCCGGTAATGACATGCCGCCTGGCTTCCTTTTTATCCGGGAAGCCGGCTCCATGTGTGGCCGGCTTGATTGTGATTGGCCGGGAAACCGGCTTCCCAGCCAATCAGCATTGAGCCAGCTTCCCGGGCAATCAGGGAATTCCCAGGCTGTTCGGCCGGCTTGATGCTGATTGGCCGGGAAGCCAGCTTCCCAGCCAATCAGCATGGAGCCAGCTTCCCGGTCAATCAGGAAGCCGGGAGGAGGCGGGTCATTACTCGCCCCCCCCAGCTTCCTGATTGCCCGGCTCCACGTTCCCCTACAGCACTGACCGGAGGTTATGGTATCGGAGCATTTGGAAATACTCGGTATCGGCACAGATACTAGTATCGGTGCATCCCTAATAAAAAAGCCTCCCTGTGCAGCGCTGTACTAGTGCGCAATTTAAACTGAATCCTTCATTTTGGATTGAGTGGGGAGGACGCTGGAATCTATGTAGGCTTTCTAATGCTGTGTCCTCATTGAGCAGAACTTCCCTACACTTCCTGCCTAGGTGGTCGCCAAGACAGGAAGTGAGAAGAAATGTCATCCAGCAGTGTCGCATACAGCAGTGTGCTTTGTTAAATCAAGGTGGTGACTTTTTTTTGGCCAGGCAGTGTATGTGGAGTAAATGTATTGTTGGGTGTTATGATGTAGGTGCCAGCTGTAATATTTAAAGAAGTTTGGCGACCTGGCTCCTGGAATTTGTCCAGCCTTGCCTTCATTTTTGAGACGCTCATATTGTAGTTTAGTGTATCCATTTTATTTTTGTTCCCCTTTCTGTAGGTCTTGGTGGAGCCATCGGCTACATGCTTGGTGGACTGGACTGGACTCAAACTTTCCTTGGCACTCTGTTTAAATCTCAGCAGCAAGTCCTTTTCTTTTTCGCCGCCATTATATTCTCCGTGTCCGTCGTCCTCCACCTTTTCAGTATTGAGGAAGAACAGTACAGCCCCCAGCAGGACCGCCTAGAGGACGAGGGGGACACCATGTCGAGTGAAAGATTAAACAGCACGCTCGCCCCGATGTCTCGGTTGAACGTCATCAACGAAGACGAATCCTACACAAACTTTCCGGATGATGTGCAGTCAGAGAGCGATCTCAACCTCGACTTTCTCGAGGTGGACATCGTAAGGAGCAAGAGCGATTCGGTCTTGCATATGGCCGACGCCACATTGGACTACGAATCAGAGTTTCTTCGTTACATCGAACCCTCCATTTTCCAAGATTGTTCGTACCCGAACACCCCGCGCAGCACCAGCCAGGAGCTTATGATGTCCAAATTTAACCGTCTTTCAGCATTCCTCAGGGAGAACGAACGAGAAGAGGAGATGTTGCTCGATAATCACATTAATGAATGCAAAGTTCCCAACGGCGGAGACGCATTACAGAATGAGAACATGAACGGGCACACCAGAATCGGCATGAAACAGTCCTGCACCGCGAGCTCCATGCGCAGGAGGAGGCACATGTTCTATCGCCAGCCTTCTTACACCTTCTCGTATTTCGGCAAAGTCGGAACCCACCGCTACCGCTACAGGAGAGCCAACGCCATCTTGCTGATAAAATCCTCGCGCAGCATGAACGACATTTACGACATGCAGAAGAGGCAGCGTCAGAGACAGAGGCACAGAAATCAGAGCGGAGCCACCAACTCCAGCGGTGACACCGAGAGCGAGGAAGGAGAGACTGAGACGACCGTCAGGCTTCTCTGGCTGTCCATGCTGAAGATGCCGAAAGAGCTGATGTGTCTTTGTGCTTCCCACTTGCTAACCTGGTTCTCTATTATTGCTGAAGCAGTGTTCTATACCGATTTCATGGGTCAGGTCATCTTTGAAGGTGATCCCAAGGTAGGTGCAAGATGATACAGCAGAACGTAACCTTTTTGTGACCTTCATTGATGCCCAGACCAAGTTTTGCCCAAATTTTTGACTAATTTGCCCACCTATATCCTTTTGTAGCTGGGGCATTCACAGCCCCATAGCTACATATCACAGCCCCTTAGCGAGAATGTCCCGGACGCAACTGATTGGGTCGAGAGGGGGTTTTGTCAGCAGTTTTGCGTGGGCTTGGGCTAACTGAGTTTGCACCAAGCCTCCGCACATCAATAGAGAGAATCAAATAGAAGACTGGCTGCTCCCCCATCTGCAGACTTTGGTCATCTTGGCTTCTAGTCACATGACTAGCCCAAGAAGGTGCCTATAGTTGCATTTTCTTCACACGTTATTTCAGTCCTTCGTTTGCCCTTTATTATGTGCCCCGGCAAGGCTGTTAACATCAAGTAAAAGGACAAGTACACTAATAGAGTATTTTATCGATAGCTCTCCCCCTTCCCTGCACATTTTTTTAATAGCAGGGTATACTTACTGATGCCCTGGGGTGCTTTCTTTTGCGGATCTTTAATGCATGGCCTTGCTGGCTCTGCTCAGTCTTTCCTCCACTATCCTACCAGCTGGACGGTGCACCCCCTGCAAATTCACAGTTTGAACCCCATGAACTTTGCTGAAAAGCCCACCCATAAGCCTTCAGGTGAACAGAATTTGGGATGCATGGAAATAGGGGTGCACTGGCCAACATAGCCTTTAGGCAGTGGTTCTCAACCTTTCTAGGGCCAGGACCCCTTGGTAACATTTGCCAAGTTATGGTGACCCCCAACCGTAAAATTTAGGGATGCACCAATACTGGTAACTGTGTGGGCTCTCTGGAGGCTATGCGGGCTCTCAGCTGGCTAGTGGGACTCTCTGGTGGCATCCAGTGCGGGCTCTGTGGTGATCAAGCACTCACCTCCCCTCACTCCTGCCTGCTCCCCTCTCTCTGATCCTCTCCGGCCGCTGCTGCTGCAGCACCATCTAGGAGTACTGACACTGCTGCGCTAAGAGGAGGCTGAGGAGCCTCTTACCTAGAGCAGCACAAGGCACGTGGGGACCCCCTCAACTGTGGATTGCGACCCACTTTTGGGTCGCGACCCACAGGTTGAGAACCACTGCCTTAAGGGGATAAACACGTCAATCTGCTGCTGCTTTTTCTCTATGCAGTCAGCAGGCTGGAGATGGATAGAGGACATTACTGTATTATGTAAGCAGTACCATCTGTCTGTCTGGCTGTGCTGTGTGGCAGAGCTGTGTAACTCACAGGACTGGAGGGAAAGTATTGCAAATCATTCGGCAGGTAAAACGGCTCCCATGCATGTTTCTATCTGTGTATTTAGTTGTTCTTCTGGAGCTCAGCTTTGATAAAAGTTTTAGTGGAGCCCGCTTATTCTGGAGTTCAGCTTTAATTTGCTTCTTTTAGTAGTACTGTACAAAAGTGTGAATAGGCTCTCAACAATTTCTGTTTCGATATATCATTAATATAATTATCTGTTTATGGACTGACACCAATTGTTCTTCCTCTAGGCTCTTACCAACTCTACAGAACTCCATAACTACAACAGCGGTGTGCAGATGGGCTGCTGGGGACTGGTGATCTACGCTGCTACTGCTGCGGTCTGCTCAGGTACCTGGCCGCCAGGGCTCTGCTCTACTGACGTCTGAAAGCTTCTATTCTGAGAATGCGTATATTATGTAATCATCTGTGAGGCTTCCATACAGACCGAAATTGTGCCGTTTTTAGCTGTTGTAGTGTACCTGCCTGCGTCAGTGTTCACCTTATCCGTTCTCAGAGGCACAGATTGACGCTACAATTGAATCCACCCCTTGTCTAAGCTCCTGTTTTGACAATGTAGCAACCATAAATGGTTATATATTTTTTTATCAACGGATATTATATGTATTTTTAAAAAAGATCCACATTACTCATTTATAAAGCATTAAAGCTGAACTCCGGGAATATGAAAAAAAAACTACCCTTGCAATGGGGCTTCCGCTGCACTGCTAAAGTTAAATGCTAGTTTTTGCCTAAGGCAGGGGCTGGCAACCTCAGCAGTCCTGCTGTGGTGCAACTACAAATCTTACCATGCATCGGCCTCTTGAGAGTCGTGGCTTTGAAAGGCTTGCGATGCCTCATGTGACTTGTAGTTGGCAAGGTTGCCTACCCCTGGCCTAAGGTAAGAGCAAAAGGCACTTTTACTAGCTTTATCCCTCACTTCCCTGGCAGCCGCTCACCTCTTCTCTCCAATGCTTTGGATTGTGGGCGGGCCCTCAGCGTGCTTACTTACAATGCAGGACTGATGATCCTGCATTGTACGTGATGACCTAATAGATGCGACCGCTAGCAGAAGTGCTGAAGAGAAGAGGCTTCAGGGGACTGGTTGCATGAGTATGGAGCCTGTGGGATGGATGCAAAAGGGGACATTTAAATATTTGGTGAGGAGTCATACTACAAGGGTAGTTTTTTTCATATACCTGGAGTTCATCTTTGAATATTTTGTTTGCATCGTTGGTTTTCCATAAGAAAGAGACCATGTAAAAGAAAACAGGTTCTGCTGAGAATTCTACATTTCAGATTTGACTGATGTGGTCACAGAACTTCAAGAAACGTAATCAGTTTAGAATTTGCAATAAGCGCACGTGAGAGGAGCAATCCAAAACTGCCAATACTCACACTAGTTAATAAGGTGATTCATGTGTTTGTAAAGTGTGCCCCCCCATGCCGTGCAACAGTTAGATTTATCTTACCAGGGCTTCCTCGTTGGCAGTCCTTCTGCCACAGGTGGTAACCCAGTGTTTTCTGGGTATTGTAGAGCATGTGGTCACTTCCAGTGTGACAGTAATCGGACCTAGCAGCCAATCATTAGGCACTGAGCACTGTCACATGACCAGCAGAGTGACGTCATTGTTCCCATTACCATCCAAGACCACCTGACAACTTGTATTTTAGTTCCTGGTAAAGTGAGTATAACCTCATCGACAAGGTGACTGTGTCTCTTTGAACATGCTTAGAATACATGTTGTATGTACAAGCAAATCAAAAATGTCAAAGTGCCTCTGCACGTGTGATTCCTAATGCACTGTTTATGTTGTCTACAGCCTTGTTACAGAAATACCTGGATAACTATGACCTCAGCATCAGAGTAATCTACATCCTTGGCACGCTTGGCTTCTCCATTGGCACGGCAGTGATGTTCATCTTTCCCAATGTCTACGTCTCCATGATTATGATCAGCACCATGGGGATAGTGTCAATGAGTATTTCATACTGCCCGTATGCCCTGCTGGGACAGTACCACGAAATGAAAGAGGTGAGTAGCATTTTTTTTTAGCACAGTAGCAAGGGATAGAACAGGCCCATTACTAGACCCAAAACACTGACCTGAACTCAAATATACTTATGTTTTCTCCCAAGTGGAGACAGCAGGTTTTTTCGTGGTGTGTTTTAGATCACCCTTTCAGTGGAAATGTATAAACAGAAATAGAGGCATATTTCTGGCTTAACCCCTTCACGACCTATGACGGGATAATCCCATCATGAATTCTGAAGGTGTTAAACAGATAGAAGCCGCCGGGACTCTGTTCAGATTTGTAGAACCGGCGGCTGGCTTTACCCCTGCCGTATTTCCTGGGCTCCGCTTGCTCCTCCTAAGGGCATCTCGGGTGTCGGTGGGAAGCTGGTGAGGAGAGCGGTGAACATCTGTTCACTGATCTCCTCCCCGTTCTATGGGACCGGGAGCGATGCTTATTGCATCACTTCCGGTCCCATAGCTGTCATTGCTGGGCTCCTGAAGCCCAGCAATAAGCTATTGATGTGGGTAAGCAGCAGGTAAGATGTGTAAAACACAGATCCACAGAATGAATTACACAGAAGCAGGGAGATTCTTGCACTGCTGTGTTCAGGTACAGCTTCTTCTCCAGCAAAAGGCTCACTTGAAATCTGGGGAGATTAGCAATCAGTGGCAGCATTGTCTTCAATGATCTCTCACTGCATATGTATATCTATGAGGTTGAAAGCACAGGAAGTGTGCTGGTATTTTTCAAGGGGAATTCAAGACAAAGGGTAGATTTTTCAGGAGATTGCATAGCCACAATGAAAATGTCTAGAGTTTCTCAAAACAATAGCAGATCTTCACTTGTTTAGTTCAGGTCCACTTTAAGAATGTGGATTCACTTTAAAATTGCTCACCATCTTTTCAATCTGTTTGTCTGCAGTACATCCACCACAGTCCAGGGAACTCCAAGAGAGGCTTTGGCATAGACTGCGCCATCCTGTCCTGCCAAGTCTACATCTCCCAGATCTTGGTGGCCTCCGCTTTGGGAGCCGTGGTCGACGCTGTTGGTTCAGTCCGAGTAATACCACTGGTGGCCTCCGTAGGCTCCTTCTTGGGATTTCTCACCGCTACATTCTTAGTAATATACCCAGAGGTTCCAGAAGAGAACAAGGAAGATCCAAAACGTCCGGCAAATGGCGCCATCGCTAATGGAGTGGATCCGGAAAAACCACTCGTGTTGCAGCTCTCTCCGAAAGGGTCTACAGCTCCTCCAGAAGTAGAGAGCGAGTCGGCAGTCTGAGCAGGTGATGTGTTCAACCCGCAACATTCCTGACCGCACAGGCACGTCTGTAGCGGCAATCTTATCAGGTGCACGTCTGGACTGGAAACCGCAATACGATGACCTGCTTATTCCCCTGTGCTGCCAGGGGGAGGGGCATTTCCAGTTTCTAAGTGAAGATGAAAAAAATAAAAGGAAATTAAATGGAAGCTCCTTTAATTTTCCCTTTCTAAAATCTGTCAATTAGGTGATGCTTTTTCTGCATGATCCTTAAAGCCTAATGCTATAGGAAATTTAGCCAATGGCATCTTAGTTTGAAGCTTTATTATGACACTTATATAGCCCTGCTATAAACCTTTTTTCTACAGTTTCACTTGTCAATAGTATGCAAATGTGTTAATTAAAGCATTAAAGTGCAATTGCGTACTGGAATGGCCATGGTTTGAGTTGGGCTAGGACTCCAGGGAAAGCACTTTGTTGGCTTTGAGCTGGTAATGCAGGGTTGTTTGGGATTCCTATATTCCAATCTACTGTTTTTTTTTAATACAGCCTGTAATCTTGCTAGAGAGTGTTCTATAATATTGCTGATCCTTCCTGGCCCAGCTCTAAAAATGGCTTCCACTTGCCAAGGTAATAAATAATTGCACTTTAAAATGCCTCGTTGAGTGGTTCTCAACCTTGGTCATACCAGAATTCTTGGCAACTCTTTTTGAAGTGGTAAGGAGTGGACTATAGTTTTTGCTTTTTGTTTTTGCAAACTGCAGAACACTGTTATAATGTATTTCCGATAGGCCAGAATGTTGTAGTTATCAGAGATCATTGACAAAAACGTTTGTATCTGAGTTAGAGACTGAGGACAGGTGGCAGTGGAGTCATTGAAATCGGGCCAGAGGTTGAGAACCATCAACCTAGTCTAGTGTTCCCAAACTGGGGGTCATGTACTACCGACAATACACATCTTCACCACGGGTCGTAGATTTATTTACAAGGCCATCCTATGGGAGAGGTCACTCACTCCGCAGGTGGCTAACAGACAGACACTTAGATAGTCTTGATGTAACCTCATATGCTTATAAGGGTGCCTCTGAAGAGATCAGTGTTCTGATTGGATGATGGCTCTTTAGGTGGGTGAAAAGGTGGGAGCTTTTAAATTGTATGCTCCAGAAAAGAGAAATGTCTTGATTTCCAAAGTGATCTGCCTCTTTGCTTACAAGTTGAGTCTTTATGTATAACATGCAGCCAGGTTTGACAGTTGTGTCTTCTGCTGATTCCTTATGTTCAGCATAGGCCGCTGCCACCAACCCCTCCTTGGACTCCCAGAGCCCCTAAAAATGTGCAAATATGTAATCTCTCTGTTACATAGCTGTGACATAGTGTTGTATGTCACCCACAAGGGGGTGCATCTTTACAAAGCCCCATGGGAGGTGGCAGTGCAGAAAACAACTTGCACTATATGGCCCAAAGTTTGTGGACAACCATCAAAATTATGGAGTTAAGGTGTTTCCAGGTAAGGGTTCTGTTACCGCAATAGCATACAAAGACATTTTGGACAGTTATGCGCTTTCAACCTTTGTGGTGGGGGAGGGGGGG